GATGATTCATTTGAACATACGTGACATGACGTGAGCCATGGATCAAAGTTCATTATTTTTGCACACAAATATGGATTTGTTCTACCACCATTTCCTGAAGACATTATCCTTTCTCCACTAGATTGCATTTGTGCCTTTGTCAAAAATATATAACTTATATCTATATATAAATATATAGATATATAGATATATATTATATATATAACTGATATATATATTTATATATATAAAAACTTCTTATTGTTTCATTAATCTACTTGTCTGTCTTGACACCAGTATCACAATGTTTTGATTACTGTAACTTTATAATAAGTCTTGAAATCTGGCAATATTAGACCTCCAACAATTGTTTCAAAATGGTCTGCCTTTTGTAGGTCTTTTGTATTTCCATATGAATTTTAGAATCAGCTGGTCAATTTCTACAAAACACCCACTGGGATTTTGACTGAGATTGCATTACATCTAGAGGCCAGTCTGGGGAGAACTGCATCTGAAAGATGACCCATGAGCACAGTGTATCTCTCCATTTATTTATACCCTCTTTCATTTCTCCTAGCAATGATTTACAGATTTCAGTGTACAGATCTTGAACAGCTTTTGCCATATTTATCCCTAAGAATTTCCTATTTTTGATGCAATTAAAAATGGGTTTGAGTTTCAATTTCCAATTGTTCATTGCTGGTATCTAGAGATATGATTCAGTTTTGTGCATTTCTCTTGTACCCTGCAATCTTGCCAAACTCATTTATCAGTTCTAGTAGCTTTTTCTGTAGGTTTTCACCAGATTTTCTACATAGACAATTATGTAGTCTGTGAAAGTACTTTTACTCCTTCATTTCCAATCTGGACAACTTCTCTTTTTCTTGCATTATTATAGCAGCTGGGACTCCAGGACAATATTTCATAGGAGTGGTAAGAATCTAAACATCATTGTCTTGATCCTGGTCTTAGGGGAAGAACTTTTAGTAGGGTATTAGCTTTTAGTTTTTCAAAGATACCCTTTATCAGGTTGAGGAAATTGGTTTTTATCCCTAACTTGTTGAGATTTTTAATCAGGAATGGATGTTGAATTTTTTCAAATGCTTTTTCTACATCTATTGAGATGATCATATCTTTTCTCTTCTTTACTTTATTAGTATGGTGAATTACACTGATGGGTTTGGGAATGTTAAACCAACTTTGCATACTTGGGACAAACCCCAGTTGCTCATTATGTGTTTTCCTTTTTATATATTGTTAAATTTGATTTGCTAAAATCTTGCTGAGAATTTTTGCATCTATGTTCCCAAGGGATATTAATCTGTAGTCTCCTTTTCCTGTAATGCCTTCAGCTGGTTATATATAAAGATAAAGCTGGCCTCATAAAATGCATTGGAAAGTAGGCCCTCTTTCTCAATTCTCAAGAAAAGTTTGGGTAGTATTGGTATTGCTTCTTCTTTAAATATTTGCTAGAATTCACTAATGAAGCTGTCTGAGCCTGGAGTTTTGTTTGTGGGAAGATTTTTAACTACAAATTCCATTTCTGCATAAGATAGGGGCTGTTTAGCTATTTCTTCCTGAGTGAGCTTCCGTAGTTTCTGTCTTTTTGGTCCATTCTACCTAAGCTGTCAAATTATTAGCATAATGTTGTTCTTAACATTACTTTATCCTTTTAATATCTGAAGACTCTATAGTGATGTCACTTCTCTCATTCCTGATATTGGTAATCTCTTTTTTTTCCTGATTAGTCTGACTAAAGGCTTATCAATTGTATTGATCTCTTCAAAAAACCAGCTTTTGGTTTCATTGATTTTCTCTATTATTTTTCTATTTTTCATTTTATTTGTAGCCACTCTGATCTTTATTTTTTCTTTCTTTTACTTTGGCTTTAACTTTTTTTTCTTTATATACTTTCTTAAAGTGAAGGCCTAAGAGGCCTTTCTTCCTTTCAAATATCAGTATTGAATGCTGTAGCTTATCTATCCCTTAAGTACTCCACACCCAGTGTGGAGCCCAACCTGGGGCTTGAACTCACGACCCTGAGATCAAGACCCCGAGATGAAGGGTCAGATGCTTAACCAAATAAGCCACCCAGGCGCCCCCTTTAAGTCCTTCTTTAAAGGCATTTTACAACTTTTTGTGTCATGTTTTCCTTTTTATCCAGTACAAAGTACTGTTTACTTCTTTTATTTCTTTTTTGACCTATGGATTTTTTACAAGTATGTTAATAGGATTTCCAAATATTTGGGGATTTTCCGGAAATCTTTCTGTTATTGATTTCTAACTTCATTCCACTGTGTTGTATTTAAATTATTTTCCCTTTATGGAGACCTGTTTATGGCCATCATAATAAAAGTTTCCTGTGCCTTTGAAAAGAAAGGGGGCAGCAATTAGGTCAAGTAAGTTGATGGTATTCTTTCAGGCCATCTATATCCTTACTGATGTCTTGTCTCTGTGTTCTATCAATGTATAAAATCAGCCATGTTGGGTGGGGGGCAGGGATTTCTATCACAGAAGTTGACAAACACTACACATTTGGTGGCCTTATTTTCCTCAGAGAGCCTATGGCTAAACATTTGCCAGCAGCCTCCCCCCCACCCCCACCCCAGACCCAGTGCTCTGTGTTTTGACAAGCTCTAAGGTGATTCTGGTGCCCTGCTCATAGTTGAGACCTGCCCCGAATGTCTCCACTGGGCGCTTCCTAGGACCCCTTCCGTGTCTTACTACTTACTGTCACAAAAGGATTGGGAAAGCACACTGCCTCAGCTCCCCTGCCTCTCTCCCCACCCCACTCCCACCCAGTGCCTGAGCACAGCGCTAGGATCAAAGCCATGCTCTTGATGTGTGCAGGCAGGAAGGATCTGGGCAGCCCAAAGCCAGTTCTGAAGTCGCCTTGCTGTGGTAGGAGCCCACTGGGATTCACCGGGTGAGAAGAGAACGGTGGGTCCCAAAGTCCAGGCTGGCTCCCCACGACAGCTTCTTGCACAGAGTCAGCCCGCAGCTGCTACCACAAATGAGAGGCAAAGCACTCCCGCGTCACACATGGCTGGGTGAACCCCGGCTTGCCCTTGCTAGCAGTGGGACGAGGAGCTGCTCGCCTTACCTCTCCAACCTCCCTCTGCTCGTCCAGGAAGATGAGAATAGTAGTACCTGCCCCATGCAGCCTCCAGAAAGATTAAATCCAATCATTTCAACAAAGAGCCGGGAATATAGAACAAGCTCCCATAAGCAGTAGCTATTACTGCTTTTCTGTGTAGCTGGAGTAGAAAGTAACACCCATGTCAACAATGTTATTCCCATTTTATGGGTGACAGATTTCAAGGCACAGAGGAATAAAGCACAGTGCCCCGAATCACACAGTTACTGAAACAGCAAACACCAGAAGCCATCCCGTTAGCCAGCGATGGATCTTGTCCACACCCTCGAATGAGCACATTTCACCATCCTGGGCTGCACTCCTAATTTATTTCCAGTAGCTCCAGATTCCCTAGCAAGAAGGTAACTGATAATTCAGTTACAACAATTACCAGCTGGTTCTCTGGCTTATTGCTATAATTTCTCTAAAGCAAGTCTGTGTGGGCAAAGACGTGGTCCTGCCTTTACATTGCTTCTGCAAGAAAAGGTCTGTCCAAGGGTCCCTGCAGCACAAGACCCCAGCAGCCATGGAGAGGCTCCCAGAAATTGCTAGGAAAAGGTGGCGTGGGGAGATGAGCGCTCTGTGAGCACACGAAGGAGTTGGGAGCGGGAGGCGACGTGATCGTGCCCCTCACTGGGGCAAATGCAGATGCAAGGATGCTTTTGCTATGTGCCAGGCACTGCTGTAAGAACTTCTCAAGTACTCATTCATTCAATGCTCACAACAGCCCCACAAAGTACTATTATTATCCCTACTTCATGAATAACAGAATTGTGAGGTTGCACAGAGGGGTTAAACAATTTGTCTGAGGTCACACAGCCAGTAAATAACTGAGCCAGGATTTGAACCCAGACAGTTAGGCTATAGGAATGGAGTTTAAAATAGGTTTCTCATGGAAAGAGCCAAAAATGTATAGTCAGAGTCACCTGCTGTCTTAAATGAGCAAACCTGAACATGAGCAAAATGAAGAAAAGCCACAGCAGAGATCAGTCACTAACAGAGAAAGGGAAGCTCTGCCTAGCCCTGTGGGTGGGCAAAAGGCTGGTGTAAAGGTGGTTGTGACATCATCCCATCTAGAGCAGGACCCCCTGAGCATCTGGTATCTCAATGCCCCTGAGAAGTGGGAGTTACTGTGCCATTGTCCCGATGTGGAAGCTGAGATTCAGAGAAGTTAAGTAGTCTGCCTGAGGTCACACAGCCCAGAAGTGTAGGGCTAAGACTCAAACCCAGCATACTTGTCCCTATACCCCATTCTCTTTCTCTGCATCTTTTATAGCCTGACTGCTGGATTCCAGCATCGGAGAGTAGGGTGGGCTCACCTCCTGTCATGTACACACACGGGTACCCCAGGCACACGGTGGCATGATCTGTGCTGGGTACCTCCTGTGTGGTAGCTGACTCCCACTGAACAATAAATGAAATCCCACCCACTGGGAGGGGGCAGGGCTGGACTCATCGATCTGTTGATCCTTCCTCCCATGGCCGTCAGCTCGGGGCCAGTTCCATACAAGAAGCCAGCCCCGGTGTGCCAGCATTCCTGTCCCTGACCCTCTACAGCCTTAAACTCAGGCCCCAGGAAGGCTGCAGATGGGTGCATTGGAATGGGCAGTGAGGGGTGTGGATGATCGGGGCCTACCTCCCTGCTCCAGATTCGCGTTTCCGTGCCTTAACCAGGGAGTAACAATTCCAGACAGTCCCGGCCCTGCCTGTGGGCAGACTCTTGCAACAGTGTGTGTAAACCATAATGCCCACCCCACTCCACCAGGGACCCCAGGCGGGCTCCTCGCAGTACCCAGTCTGACCCTGCAGCCCCACCCTCTCTCTCCAGGAGCCCTTTCCCCTCCATCTCATGCCTCCTGTGTTTGTGTCTGTCTCTTCGTTTTAGGGATTTATTTCTCTACAAGGGACCCGGGTGACTGAACTTCTTCCTGACCCTGAGGACCCAGGGAAGCACCTCTTTGAGATCAGCCCAGGTAGGCCTGAGCATCTTTCGGCTCTGTGCTGGGGGCGGGGGGGAGGGGGGGCCTGGCGCTGGTGGCCCCGATTGGGGCATCACCGAGCCTCTGGCCCATAAAGCAGACCTCCTTCAGGATGCTCCTCCCTGTAGGAACATCAGCGCTGCCTCCAAAGACAACTCAGAAATTTGGGCCAAATCTAGAGAATATTGTAAATTTGGGCGAGTATTAGAAAATCCAGTTGGGACGCCTAGGTGGCTCAGTCGTTAAGCATCTGCCTTCGTCTCAGGTCATGATCCCAGGGTCCTGGGATCGAGCCCCGCATCGGGCTCCCTGCTCCACGGGAAGCCTGCTTGCTTCTCCCTCTCCCACTCCCCCTGCTTGTGTTCCCTCTCTCGCTGTCTCTCTCTCTGTCAAATAAATAAATAAAATCTTTAAAAAAAAAGAAAGAAAGAAAGAAAATCCAGTCAACTGAGTAATTAGCTTTTGGGCAAGAGGAAAATATGGATTTTAAAATTCACAATAAACGCAAGGGAAACCAGTCAATGGGGACATCTTAAGGCAAAGGTCCAAACACAGCATCTGGATCATATGCAGTTAAGTCCAGGGAAAACCCACCAGCACAGGTACAGAGCGTTAAAGTAGGCTCTTTGGTGGATGTCAGAACAGAGAATGGCGACATGGTGGGAGGAAGGGAAATATTTTAACCCAAGGAGCCTTGTCATGTTAGCAGTTACAAAACCATCTTTTAAAATTCCCAGTTTTAAAACGTGATCGTTGCAGAACGAAATAGATGTGTCTTGAAGATGAGCCAGTCTGCTTCTAGAAGGGCTGCTTCCTCAGGTGCTGTTTTTCTACCTCGGCTTCCCCTAGACGCAGAGCCTGAGACAAGGCTTTGAGCAGTTTTTCAGAGGGGATTCCCAAAAAGTAGGGGGAAGGGAGCAGGGAGGGAGGAAAGCCATGCAGGGTGTGCTAGTGAGCTGACTGCTGCTGTGGGAACCCAGGTTCTATTCCAGCAGGGGCGGTGGAGACTGCGGGGAGCGGGCCGCGGACCTGTCCCACCCCTGGAGCAAGGAGGCTGGGGGTGACCCACCTGCTTCCACCGTCCCACTATTAATTCCGCCAGCGGCCTCCCAGGAGCTAAGTCCGGCATCTCTGGCCTGCCCGAGGCATGGCCAAGCTCCCTACAGACACAGAAGCCTTGAGGGAGCATCGCCCTCGTGCTTGGGAATAGCAAGAGCTGGGGCTGTGGACAGGGCATGGGTGACGGGCGACTAGTCATCCGGTGCCACCAATGTGCTGTCCACATTTAGACTTCCTTCTGGGAAGTGGTGGTTGTGAACTGAGTGTGCCAGGGTCTCACTGGGCTCTGTGAACCAAGCGGTTTACAGTCTCCAATCAGTCTGAGGGGTTGAACCGACTATCATCCAGGCACCAAGGGAGGGATCAGGCCAGGCTCAGGCCAGCCAGCCCTAGCCCGTGGGGAGCTGCAGTGAGTGCAGCCAAGCCCGGGGCAGGGCCCTGTTCACCTCTGCTCTGTCCACACTGGGAATTACAGAAGACACAGGCAGAAGGTGATGTGCAGGGAGCCCCTCCCCAATTTCACGTCCTGGATGCAAAATGCAAGAACCCACGGTTTCATTTGGGTTTTCCTACATGGGTATTTAATCTACTGCAAAACCCTTGGTACTAAAACTGCACATTGGAAGGGGGCAGCAGAGGGGTCCCAGAGTGTGGAGTGGAAAAGAGAAGCTTGGTCGACTATGGAACAGGGGCAAAGGCTTCTGCAAAGAAGATAGGGAAGAAATGGAGAGGGCTGTGAGGTGGACAGGGCCCGGCCATCTGCGGGAGGGGGAGCAGGCCCGGGAAGGGAGGCTGGGGGATGGGCCAGGGGCCCTGGGCTTGGCAATCAGGGAGGAGGAAGGCGGTGAGGCTGGAACTGAAAGGTAGAGGTCAGCACACCCTCGCCATGAACTCAGCAAGGCCCTGAGCATGTGCCCCAAGGACCAGATGGGAGAAATCACCAGTGTGCATGCTCTTGGTCTGGGTCAGAGCTATTTACAAGGATTTCTTTGCCTGTGGGGGGAAGAAGACCCCTTTGCCATGTAAGGCAACATTCATGGGTCCTGGGGATTAAGATGTGGACACCTCTGTGGGACCATTATTCTGTCTACCCCATGCTCAAAACATCCCTCTAAGGGAGAAGTCCTTTTATGACTGTTTTATTTAAAAAGACCCTGGGGGTTAGAAAGGATAAGGAGCTTGCCCAAGTACGCACAGCTAGATGGTAGCAGAGGTCAGGGCTGGTATCCGTCGCTACCCCCCTGCCTTTGCACACACAGCCCTCCTGAAGTCCTGGGGGCCCGGTTGGGGTGGGACTGGGGGTGAAGGCAGCTGTGAGGCAGCTCAGGGAAAGCGGGTCGGTGGTGAGCAGAGAGGGGTCCGCTCAGCCTTTGTGGAGCACTGAGCAGGAAAGGCTCAACGGTCTCTCCGGGCCCATCACTGTAGCTGCAAAGGCCAGGTGGAGTGTGTGTATTGCCACACCCAATACCCCGGAGGGGAACACTTAACAACGCTTAGAAATGTGGCAGAACCCAAGTAGGATAATGCATAAGATCAACTACATGAATTTTAAGTTATAGTTCTATTTTTGTTCTTCAACAGTATAAAAAAATCCCAAGTTTCATCAAGATAGAATTAAAAGAGGCAATAGAAGAGGGGGAAAAGAAAAAAAAAAAAAAATTATACTGTGAGTGCCATCTAGTGGAGAGACCTGCCAATTACATGACAGGCCTTACAGGTCCTCCTACCTGCACCTCGCAACCCCTATTTCAACACACCACTATTTCAACCAGGCCACACCATGATTGTGGCTGGGCTCCCACAGAAACTAAGTGGTGGGACTGAAGCTTGAGCCACCTCTAAACCAGAGTCTAAACCAGAGTCCTGGGTCAGGTGGAAGGAACGAGGCCCCAGAAAGGGGCTGGGACTCAAGGACCCTGGGTCTCCTAACCACCTGGCCTCTTCTGCCCAGACGGTTGCCTAGTGTGATCTTGTGGTTTGGATTAAGATAGATATAGATAGATATATATAGATGCAGATATAGATATTTGGTGTTCACCCTGGTTCCAGGCACATAGTTCCTAAAACCCTCAGAATTTCCTAAGTGAAGACTAGTAGTAAAGGTGTCTTTTGTTATGTTAATGAGATAACTTTTGGAGAGCCCTCAGGTCATCTAAGGATGGATACTGGTTATCAGGGGAACCGACCAGGTGTTTAGAAGATTGGAGCTTTGGGGCGCCTGGGTGGCTCAGTTGGTTAAGCGACTGCCTTCGGCTCAGGTCATGATCCTGGAGTCCCTGGATCGAGTCCCGCATCGGGCTCCCTGCTCGGCGGGGAGCCTGCTTCTCCCTCTGACCCTCCCCCTTCTCATGTGCTCTCTCTCCTCATTCTCTCTGTCTCAAATAAATAAATAAAATCTTTAAAAAAAAAAAAAAAAAAAAGAAGATTGGAGCTTTCAGGTCGACCTCCGGGTAGGGAGAGGGGCTGAATATTGAGTTCAGTAACCAATGGCCAGTGATGTAATCAGTCATACCTATGTAATGAAGCCTCCATTAAAAAAAAACAAAAAAGAGGGTTTGCAGACCTTCTAGGCTGGTGAACACGTGGAAATCTGGGGAGGAGAGGGCACACAGGGAGGGCAAGGAAGCTCCACATGCCTTCCCACATACCTTGCCTTATGCAGCTCTTCCATCTGGTTGTTCCTGAGTTATAACTTTGTATAATCAACCAGTGATCTAGAAACGAAAATGTTTCCTTGAGTTCTGTGAGCTGCTCTAGCAATTAGTCAAACCCAAGGAGGGGCTTGCTGGAATCTCAGATCTATGGCCCATTGGTCAGAAGCACAACATGGCCTTGGTGATTGGCATCTCAAGGTGCGGGGAGGCAGTCTTGTAGGACTGAACCCTTTACCTGTGGGATCTGACATTTTCTCCAGGTAGATAGTGTGAAAATAGAGTAAGTTGTAGGATGCCCAGCTGGTGTTGGAGAACGGCTTGGTGATGTGGGGAAAAACCCACACACTATAATTAGTGCCCAGAATTTTACCTGGCAAACCCCACTGCCTCCCGGCCCTTTGAAAGCTGTCTGCCCCTTGCAGACTTGATTCTGCTGGGCTCCCGGTCTTGGCAAAGTGGGCATCCACCCCAGGCCATGTTTAGGAGTCCCTCCATATACACAGGGGCGGAGTGAGGAGTGGAGAGGCCTGCTTTGGCACTGTGGACAGAAAGAGTTGCTAAATCCACAAGATGTTTGTGTCTGATGGAACGAATTAGGTAATAAAGCAAGTGCAACTTGTTTCAAATATTCTTCTTCTGGTATTAGCACAGTGTTACCAAATGGAGGCAGGTCAGTTGCCTACAGGGGTTTAGATGGGAGCCCTAAGTCTTTCTGGTGAGTAAACTCATGACTATCATGTCTCCTCCATCACTGGTGTGTCTTTCAAGAGTCCTGATTGCAGGTGAAGCCAGCTCAGGCTAACTCAGGCAAAGGGAGAATGGGCCAGAGGTTGTGGGGCCACAAAGAATCATCAGGAAGCTGGGGCCCTACCTGTGGAAGGGGCAGGCAGCAGGGCTGCTCAGTGGTCCTGGAGGCAGGAACAGAGTGCAGGTCAGTACGATGAGCTGGAAAGGTTGAATCCCAGCGGACTCCTCAGTCCTGGTATCGATTGCTCAAGTCGGGAGTCTTGGTGTTTGTGTTTTGGCCACAGGCCTGTGCCTGATGACACTGGGGTGCTAAGGAAACGCCTGTCCCCTCCAGCGTCTGGACAGACCCTCACACTGAGACTTCACATAGTGGGAGCAAGGAGGCCCCAAAGGGACCCTGGTGCCTTCACGAAGGGAGAGGAAGTGACCATCTCCACCAAACATGCACTTCACCAGACACAGTCTATGGTTCTGTTATTTGAGGGCCAGGTGTCACGTCATTGGCCTTGGCCTCTCTGCACACCAGGCCCCAAGATGGGGTGCCTTTCCAGGTGCATCTCCTCCTGGGAGCGCAAGGACCCCAGCATGTGGGGCTGAGGATGAGCCCTTGTGGGACATGAAGGGCTGCTGCCCTGAATCTGAGGGGACGGATGGAGGAAAGTGCTGTCTCCTTGAGCAGGAAGACACAGAGGATATAATGGCTGTTCCGAAGTCTGGGCCCCATTCCCACGGTGGAACGCCTGTCTGCTTTGGGCCTGCAGACTATCTTTCTCAAGATAAAGCGCGGCAGACTCCAGTGGAGGCCGCCCAGCTGAGGCCTGGCAGGCACTCCACTCTCCCACGGAGCTCCCGGACTGCCTCCCCTCAACTCCTCGAACACCCTGAGGGCAGCCAGCCCCGGGTGGGGGGTGCCTCTGACATCTTGGGTGTTCAGCTCTAACCAGGGTTGGGGGGTTGAGGTTATAGGCAAAGCGAGCAATGGCACTGCGTGGAATTCAGGGAGCTGTCAATTGGGCCCAAACGTGGCAGCGATGCAGGTGTTCCCCAGGGGCAGCCTGGTGTCTGCCCTGGGGAGAGAGTCAGGAAGCCGAACCCAGGCGCCACCTCTCTTCACGCCTGCTTTCTGCAATCTCCCAGCAGGGCATGGTGTCCCCGTAGCATCTGGCTCTAGCTGATGTTCCAGACTGCCCATCTCGCCAGGAGTCAGGACAAGTCACTGAATATCCCTGTGCCTGTGTTTCCTCACTTGTAAACTGAGGGTAGTAATAGAGCCGAGGGCCTCGGGTTTTGGGGAGGATGCAGTGAGATACCCGAGCCCGGCTCATAGGAAGTACCTGCTGTTTTTACATCCTTCCCTCCTCCCTGCAGTCTCTCTGTTTACCGTTATTATTAATCATAACAGCACAGTCACTGCTTAGCTAATACCTGCAAGTCAACAATTCCGATACAGTGTGAGAAGTGCTCTGACAGGTGTCCCCAGGGCTGAGAGCCCAAAGCTAGGAGGGAGGGTGACTTGCCTGGGGGGGTTAGGGAAGGTTTCACTCTTCCAGACGACCTCCAAGGAGCCACCCAAAAAGAATGGGTTCTAGCAGTTTCTCACGGCTGCACAGGGTCTTTGAAGCCACTCTGGGCCCTGAGCTTGCAGCTGCCTGTCCTTATCCGCCAGCAGCTCGGAGCAGTTAGGAGCACTGCCACCCACTATCTCTGAGGCCTGACCTTGAAACGAAGCCAGCGCACACAGATTACCCCGGAGAAGTAGACTGATACCACGCTCCTGACCTCCACAGAGCATCGCTCATCTCATTAGCCGCCTCCGGAGCGGGATGCTGAGCTCGGCCTATCTCGGCACCTGGTACCAGCCAGCCTGCGTATCAGCCTGACCTCACGAGGCCCCGCTGAGTTTGCCTGCCAAGCGCCAGACGATGGGTAATGACTAGAAATGAAATCAGATGAGAAGTTCACCCGCGCTCCTCACCCCCGGGAGTGGGAGAATCAGCAAGTCCGAGAGTGGTTGCTTGGACTTTCCGGCTTTGCGGTCCGGCCCTCCTGTCCTAACCCCACTCTGCCCAACTAAACACAGAAACAGGTGTGGGAAGCTCCCCCCAGGGTCCCTGGAAATAGATGTCCTTGAAGAGGAACGTTCAGTTCATTCTTTTGGCCAAAATCAGGCTCCAGAGCAGCTCTGTTCCATAGAAACCCAATGTAAGCCACGTTTGTAATGAAATGAACCATCCTGTTGCTCATTGACACCAGCCACATTCCACATGTGTCTGGTGAACCGAGGTACCCAGTGAGCTGCAATGAGGAGGTGACTCAGTGTAGTGCTTGGCATGGGACAGGTGTTCAGCAAGCACCCTTAAAAGGAAAGAGAAGTGGGGAGGGAGGAAGAAGAACTGGGGAAAAGCCTGGGCTTTGGAGTCAGACCCAGATTCAGCTGCTCGCTGATTTGGAGAACTGGGACCAATCATTTAAATTCTGAGTCTTCTTTTCACTGTCTGATAATAGAAATAAGCTTGGCAAGATAGCTGTGACCATCAAGTGAACTAAGATACATGGATGTGCAGAGGACACTTCCCCCACCTTCTGCTACCTGTTCTCTCTCTCCTTCCTTCCTTCCTTCCTTCATTCCTTCCTTCCT